CTCGCTTTGGAGACCAGGCTGGCCTCAAACTCACAGAGATCCGCCTGCCTCTGCCTCCCGAGTGCTGGGATTAAAGGCGTGCGCCACCACCGCCCGGCTAAAATAAACTTTTTTAAAAGCTGTAGATGGCATCTGTCTTGCAGACAATGAGCCCTTGTGCTAATACCATCATTAAAATCTGTTACATTGTGCTACATGATACAACTTACTTTACACAGTCTAACATGACCTCATTACTGATGTGCTCATTTGTCCATCAGCATGTCACCTTTGTGACAGCAGGGACCTTGTCTGTTATGTTGTATACAGGGCCCACCCCGATGCCTGGCACGCAGTAAACAACAGACACTGCTGAGTGAACGTGCAGCCCAGAGACAGGCAGAGGAAGCTTTGCCATGGCAGTGGGGAGGGAACGGCTGCAGTTAAGTGTTGTGGGATATTTGTACACTGTGCGAAGATGTACTTGTTGTGATTGGTGTGATAAAAAGCTGGATGGCCAATATCTCGGCAGGATGTCCAGGAAGAGAAAGTAAGAGCAGGAGGAATTGAGGCGTGCAGGAGAAGCCAGGAGACATGGAGAAGAGACAGGAGGTGCAAGATGGAAGAGAGGAAGCACCACGTCATAGAACATAGATTAATGTAAATGGGTTAATTTAAGTTATAAGAGCTAGTTAGGAACAAGCCTAAGCTTGTTGCATAATTAATAAGAAGTCTCCATGTCATTATTTGGGAGCGGGTTGGTGGGACAGAAAAAGACTCACTACAGTTAAGAGCATGACTGCTTTGTCAGGGGACCCAGGTTTGGTTCCCAGCACCCACATGGCAGCTCGCAACCTTTTGTCACGCCAGCTCCAGAGGACCTGACACCCTCTTTTGGCCCCTGTAGGCTCTGGGCACGACTTGCATGCAGGCTGTGGTGGTTTGAATGAGAACAACCCCTATATTATCATATATTTAATGCTTGGTCCCCAGTGGGTAGAACTGTTTAGGAAGGGTTAGAAGGTGTGGCCTTGTTGGAGGAGCTGTGTCACTGGGGGCTGGCTTGGAGATTTCAGAGCCCACCTCATTGCTAGTTAGTTCTCTCTGTCTCATGCTAGTGGCCCAAGATGTAAGCTCTCTGCTGCTGCTCCAGCACCATGCCTGCCTGCATGCTGCCATACTCATTACCATGATGGTCACGGACTCTGACCCTCTGAAGCTGTAAACCCCAAATAAATTCTTCTCTAAGTTGCCTTGGCCATGGTATCTTATTACAACAATAGAAAAATAACAAGACACAGGCACAATACTCATAAACATAAAATAATAAAACCTTGCTGCGGTAAACTTGGGCTCTAAAGCCATACAGTCCCATTGCTGAAAGCTGGAAGATGTGTGTTTGGCTGGGTGAATTCCTGAACATATCAGGCCTCACAGAAAATGGGACTCATAGTAAGATGGCCTCTCAGACCTGATGCTGGAATTGGATGCAACAGTATTTGCAAAGTATTTTTTCCTTTGTGTAAGTAGAGACAGGCCCTCATGTAGCCCAGGATGGCCTAAAACTTGTTCTAACTGAAGATAACCTTGAACTTCTGGTTATTCTGTCTCTACCTCAAGAGTGCAGGATTCAGGACTGTGCCACTCTGCCAGGTTTCTTCAGTGTTGTGGATGAAACTCAAAGCGAGTTTGTGCACACTAAGCAAGCACTCACCACAGAATGATGGCTGGGGGGGGGTCGCATTAGGATCTTTTTTTTTTTTTCTTTTTCTTTTTTTTCTTTTTTGGTTTTTCGAGACAGGGTTTCTCTGTGTAGTTTTGGAGCCTGTCCTGGGTCTTGCTCTGTAGCCCAGGCTGGCCTTGAACTCACAGAGATCCACCAGGCTCTGCCTCCCTCAAGTGCTGGGATTAAAGGCGTGCACCACTGCCGCCCGGCACATTCTATTTATTTATTTGTTTGTGCCAGAGAGAACCTGAGTGTGGGGTCAGAGAGCAGCTTGAGGGAGTTGGTCCTCTTCTTCCACGGTGTGAGTTCTGGGATTGAACTTGGGCCCTCGGGCTTGGCAACAAGTGCCTTTGCTGCTTTGCCACCTCACCAGCCCATCACTGTCATTTTTCATTCCCATTGTACAGAAGAGAACACCAAGGCCAAGAGAGCTGGGTAGATGTAGTGGGGTTCAGACCTGGTGACAGTTGCTACAGCTTGGGACAGAAGTGTTGGGGGTTGTGCCCTTTGGGTCAGTATGAGTGGGGCACCTCCAGTCTGGGAGACCCTTTCTTCCTGAAGGATGGGAGTGTAGATCCTGCCACCATGCCTGGCTGGTGCTCTGCCCTCCACTGTTCCTGTGGACACTGACCCCACAGGGCTCCTGCGGTGCGTCCCGCCTCCTTCCTCCACCATAGGCATTTCCACCTCGGGATCCCCTCCTCCCAGCGTGTTCCAGGCCCTCCATTCCAGGATCCCCTCCTCCCAGCATGTTCCAGGCCCCCCATTCCAGGCTCCTCCAGCACAGCGGCCCCATCACAGTCTCTACCTCTACCATCCACCCAAAGCTCCCACTGTGCGGGGCAGGACCTACTTACATTACAGCTCCCTCTCTCCCCAGATCGTGCTTCCCTGTCCTCCTTCCAGCATTACCCAGCTGTCAGTATCACTGTTGTTTACTGTCTTTCCCCCCCAGGACAGCATCTGGGGGCCCTCTGTCCCACCACTCTCCTGAGCACACAGTAGGTGCTCAATGAGCTGTGGCTGAATGCGCCAAGACCCCAGAGCCAGCAGTATGTGGCTGTGAGACGGAAGGAGCTTGGTAAGCAGTTCTGGGAAGCAGCAGGGCTCCATGGCAGGTGTGGAAGCAGAGAGGGCAGGGCCAGCCCTGGGCCAAGTGCCCAGGTCCAAACATGCCCAGCCCTTGCACCTAGGACTGGCTGATGCCTCTTTCCTACACAGAACCACACCTCATCAGACCGTGTTGTTGAAGCCAGAACCTTGTGTGTGTCCTTGATTTTTTCCCTTATCTGTCCCATGTTCAGTCTAATAGGAAACTCTGTTGGCACTCTCTAAAATGTGTCCCCAGGCAGATTACCTCCCTTTCTTCCCTTTCAGCCCATGGTGACTTTGTCTTGTTCAATCCCCATATGCAAAATGACCCATGCAAAGGCTAACTAAAATAATGTCCTGTCCAGTTTTAAACTGTCCCAAAAGCCAGGCATGGTGGCACATGCCTTTAATCCCAGCACTCAGGAGGATCTCTGAGTTTGAGGCCAGCCTGGTCTACAGAGTGAGTTCCAAGACAGCCAGGGCTGCACAGAGAAAGCCTGTCTCAAAAAACCAAAACACACACACACACACACACCACCACCACCACCACCAACAACAACAACAACAACGAAACCCAAAGCTTTCCACTGTAATTTGAATAAAAATCCAAAGTGTCTGCTCTCTCCTGCTCCCTGATTTCTGTTTTGGTCAGTGTACTCGACACACTGTCCTTGAACAACTCATCTGGTACCTCCCCACCCCTAAGTGTCCTAGTCTGGAGCTCTCTTCCCCTTAGGTCTAGGGCTCCATCTCCACTCATCTTCTCTGTCTAATTCAACCCAATGCTGGGAGAGAGGTCTCCCACTCACCATGGCAGCCACTGTTTCTTTTGTTTCTTAGTAACAGAATAAACTCAGGTCCACTGAGCTACATCCCAGGCCTGCCCCTCCCACTTACTTTTTAAATTACATTGATTTATTTTATGTATGTATGCACACACCATGGTGTAAGTATGAAAGTCAGAGGATAACTTGCAGGAATTCTCTCCTTCCACCACATAGGTCCCAGGGATCAAACTCAGGTCATCAGGATTGAGGACAAGTTCCTTATGGTGAGCCATACCGCTTCGTTTTCCCTTCCTTCCTTCCTCCCTCCCTCCTTCCCTTCATCTCTCCCTCCCTCCCTTCCTTCCTGTTTTGAGACAGGATCATGCTAAGTTATCCAGTTTGGCCTTGAATTGTTGATCCTCCTGCCTCAGCCTCCAAGTAGCTGAGATTACAGGCATTTGCCACCACCCTGGGCTGAGCACTTTTCTAAGCACTTTCTCTACAGTTAGCCTGCCTTCTGTGTCTCCTCATCAGTCACTGATCCTGAACTAGGAAGTTATTTCCACAACGGTGGCCTCTGTGTTGAGCATATGCAGGATTTTGTTTCTTGTCATTACTTCCTAAACAGTATCAGGTAACAACGACTTACAAAGCAGTTACATTGTATTAGGGATTATTCATAATCTAGAGATAACTTAAAGGACACGAGAGGATGAGTGGAAGATAGATGCAAACACAATGCCATTTCCCTCACACACTGCTGGAGATTGGACCTGGAGCCTTGGAAGTGTTCTCCTAAGCCACACCACAACCCCAATACTTCACCATTTTATTACAATTACT